CTCCTTCTTCTCTTTCTCCTTCTCCTTCTCCTTCTCTCTTACCTGACATAGGATCATGAAGAGTCAGGCACAACTGAAACATCTGAACAGCAAATGCATATTTATCACAATAAATTTGTTTGTTTTCTTTTCTTTTTCAGTGGGATGGGGGTGGGATGGAGAGAAAATAAATTTAAAATGGAGGTTGGGAGTGCTGCATATGAGGAATGTTGTATGCACTTTCAGATGAGGTCACTATCACTGGTTTTACTTAACTGTCTTATTTTGCTATAAAGACCTCTCACTAAGTGGTAATAATGTGTATGGAATATGTCATGTGCATGTGTATGTGATATAAAAACAAAATATGTCAATAAAACTGAAAGTGACAAAAAAAAATTAAGTGAGGATGGGCCGCGTAGAGGAAGGTAAGCCTGGATTGGCCTTCATGTTTTTGATAGTACTTTTGGAGATGGTGGCTGCTTATCATTCCCAACTCCTAGGAGATCAATGGTAAACTGTGTGTGGCCATTCCACAGGAAAGACCAATCTGGGTATGTTCTGGGTCCTTAAGAACAGTACCTGGGAAATAATTGCACTAAATGGTCTTTTAGGCTTACCAGCTGTGTTCTCCTGGGCCTTTCTGGCTTGGTAATTTAAATTGTCTCTAAGTTCTTCTAGAGATTTCTTCAGAACTCAGATTTCCATTTCCCATCTGGTTAGACTTCTCTACATCTTCATCCTTCATCATTTCAGCCCTGGAATTCATACCTCATGAGACCCTGTGGCCCTGCAGCCCCTCTTTCCCTCAGGTTGGAGGGTGGAGAGCTCCCGCCTTGATGTCCATTGAAGCAGGGCACCAGGACATCTGTCTCTTCATTTCCCACCAGGTTGCACTCTTCTGAACATCTCCATCATACTCCCCACCAAAATTCCTTCTCCCTGTTTTTCAAGATTCTTTTTGAGTGTTGTCTTCTATTAGATTGTAAGGTCTTTGAGTGCCATCAATTCTTTCTCTGGAGGTGGATAGCATTTTTCATTACGAGTCCTTTGGAATTGTGTTGGATCATTATATTGCTGGGAATAGCTAAATCATTCATGGTTGATCATCGTACAATATTGCCATTACTGTGTATAACATTCTCTCGGTTCTGCTCACTTCACTCTGTATCAGTTCATCTAAGTCTTCATAGGTTTTTCTGAAACCATCCTGCTCATCATTTCTTTTAGCACAACAGTATTCCATCACAATCATACGCCACAATTTTTTTTATCCATTTCCCAATTGGTGAGCATCCCCTAAATTTCTAAATCTTTGCTACCACAAAAAGTGCTGCTATAAATTTTTTTTTGTAAAAATAGGTCCTTTTCCCTTTAGGAAGGCAGATTCTGAGCAGCACCCACAGCACTCCTGCCAAGCATAGGAGGGCAGGCCTGCTGCAGCAACCATCTGTACATGAGGACAGAATCAAGTTCTAGCAGTGATCGCACATAATGCTCAGGTCTTCAGAAACACTCTAACAATGGCAGTTGTTCTATCCTGGCACATAGGATAGCAGTTGACCTTGACAGAGGCAGAGATACAAGCCCCAGTAGTGATAGCAGGGGAGATGGGAGTGGGAGGTAGGGAGACAGTACATAGGGATGTGGGCCTCAGTGGCGGAAGACAGATGAGGTATCAGCTCCCGGGGGCAGAAGAGTGAGCACCAGAATGTGCAGTGACAAAAGGCAGGCCCATTGTAGTCCATTGCTTCCTGTAATGTGCAACTGATGGGCCCCTACACATGGCTTCCAGTACAACACACAGGGATCATTGCACAGCTCGTCCCTGGGGAGGGCTGGGAAAACCAAAAGGTGGCATTGTTGGGAAGAAGCTTGCTTTCTGGTGACAAGGGGTGATGAAAACATCTAACCAGTCTCCATAGATGAAGGGAGGGCACCCTCTCAGAAGCCTTTCATTGAACTGACTTTTTTTGTCTTTTCTCCTTCCCCATACTTCTCCCCTCCCTGATCCCACAGGATTCCCAGGAAAGGGAAGAAAGGTCCTGGCTGGTGAGCCATAGGAACTAAGCAGGTGGCAGTACAGGCAATTCTCTCTGCTCCTTGATAAGGATCAGTGACCAGGCAGGAAGTGTCATCATCTTTCTGTAGCCCTGATGTCCCTGGTGCTGCTCCTATTAGTGGTCACCTTTTCTACACTGAGACCCACTGTGAACTGCGAAGGTTTGGCATCACCTACCACATGGACCTCAATATTTATTTAGACTTAAGACTTGACCCTTCCTGAGACTTTTCCAGATTCAGTCATTGCTTCAGGTTGCTGTTACATTGGTTGCTTTGTTTTGGGTTTTGCCATTTATATGTCTTGGTTTTTCTTTTCCTCTTTTTCCTTTCCTGACTATATTTTAGACTTCTGAATATCAGGGATTTGAGTTGACCAATAACAGTACTGAAGTCATTTAATTGGTGGGAATTCCGCTAGAAGACCCTAAAGACTCTGCCATCAAGCAACAGATGAACCTAGTTTTTTCCTTAAAATATATTGAGACCATCCTTGAGACTTGTGGTTGGTTAGGGGACTAAAAGCTCAGCCTTGTTGCTTGAGGAAGCCAGGACATGGTACAAATTAACCAGAGGTAGTTCCCAGAATCCTCTTGCATGCCTGGTTGGTGGATCATCAATAGCAACTCAGGCAAGGGAACTTCTCTCAGCTGAATCAACCTGAGATGGCCTCAATACCTATCCTTGTTGCATAGCCTTCTACTATGACCGAAGTAAATCTCCTTTTGTTAATTGTTGAATGAACTACAAATGTCTTATTTTATTTCAATTCTGAATCTACCCTATCAGTGGACTGGTCTAAGTTTGACCTACTTCCTTCTTGCCTTTTTTTCTCACAATTTTTCCAACCTGGGATTAAGATTTGGGGTATGTATAGAGAAGTGGGAAAGCAGGCTGAAGGAATACCTATTCTTTCCTGTATCTGTTATTGCCAAAGGGGATAAAGTAAAAGGAAATGGACTTACATTGCAGCAAGAGAATTAGTTTAGATACATCAGGTCAGATACATCAGGTAGTATTGGAACTAGAATAGGAGACCAGAAGAGATGAGTATATTTGCTCTTTAAGAATATGATGACAGAAAAAACAAAAACAAAAACAAAATAGCTGTGTGACCCTGGGCAAGTAACTTAACCCCAGTTGCCTAAAATAAAACAAAACAACAAAAAAAAAATAAAGAATATGATGACAGGGGCAGCTAGGTGGCACAGTGGATAGAGTACCAGCTCTGGAGTCAGGAGGACCTGAATTCAAATCCAACCTCAGACACATAACACTAGCTGTGTGACTGTGGGCAAGCCACTTAACCCCAATTGCCTCACCAAAAAAAAAAAAAAAAAGAATATGATGACAGACCCCAGTTGTACATCTAAAAGCAGAGATAATCCCTAGGGTGAGTCAGGAATTAAGAAAGGTAAGGAGAGGTGAATGCTACAGATTGGGAGGCCAGGCTGGATCTTTGAAGCCTGGAATTGGTAGAGAGTAAAATCTTAGAACAAAAAACCTTTTTGGTCATAGTCATAGAATCTTATGATTTAGCACTATAAGGGACAGGGTTGGGGGCAGCACACAAATTGGAGTGGAACATTGAGGTGGAACAGAGAAACCCCTCTCTTCTCCCTCAATCAATTTAGGAAAACTTCTTGAAGGACAGAAGTAACAGGCAATCAGTGAGCTAGGGGGAAAAATGGGGGAGGATGCAGTTTCTGGGTGAGCTGAGAAGGCAGAAAGGTGATGGGTAGATGGGAGCAAGAGTTGTGTGAAAGTTGTTGAGAGAGAAGGTTGTGGTAGTGTGGAAGATGTGTTGGGAGAAGCGGAGAGGAAGTTGGGTTTGTGCTTTAATTTCCTTACTTCACCAGGGATTAGGGAGACTATGATCGGCTGGCTGGGGCCCATGTGACAGGAAGGGCCCCAGTGGCTCTGTGCCCAGTCAATGGCCTCATTCAGAGCTGGCAGATGGCACCAGGAGGCACACTCTGGCAGTGGAAAGGTTAATGCCGGTGCCCATCTGGACAGTCAGCCTTGCCTTCCACAGGGGATGCTGGGGGTGTGGGTGGGGGGGTGTCACTTAGAGAAGCTGGTATCTAAGCTGGTACCCTCTGCAGCTGTCTCAACACACAACTAGCTCAAGAATGAACATGACCTCCCCCACCCCCATGTTTCTCTGGCTTCCTCTTGCAAACTGCAGGGACTTGGATCCAGTGCTACCCTTCACTCAGAGACCAACAAACAGATCCTGGTTCTGCGTTTCCTTGGGACAGACAGGTAGGGAGAGGTCAGACAGATAGATGTGATATACGAAAGGGTGTCAGTTCTCCTGGTCAAGGTTCAGAGACCGAGAGATGCCCAAGGCCAGGTGGTAGAGATTAGAGACTAGAGATTAGAGATACCAACTCAGAGACCGTCCCGGGGTTAGGGCGTGGGCTGTGGCTATTAAGCTCCTCCCCTCTTCTGCCCTACCCCCCCCCTTGCCCCAGCCCGTCGAATTGGCAACGTAGCTTTCCAGTCTTTTCAAGGGCCCCCTTCCATGCTCGGCCCTGGTCCTTCCTTCTTTCCTAACACCCAACCCCTGCACCCCTCCTCGGATTGGTCCCCAGCCTGTCAGAGGGCGGGACCTATGGGCCCTTACGTCATCAAGGGAGGAAGGAGGTGGAGCGGGGAGGGGGGAGGGTGGGGGTGGGGAGGGGAAGAACAGGGAGCAGGCAGGCTCAGCACCACGGAGAGCTCCCTCCCCGGCCCTTGTTTTTGCAGCGGAGCTTCAGCCACTTGGGGAGGGAGGGGGTGAGGGGCCGAGGGCTCTGAGTGTGGAATCAGGGGGATGGCCAGGGAGGGGAGGGGGGGGTTGGGGCCGGCTGAGAGCCCAGCCCTGAGCCGGTAAGGCTGCCAGGGAGCGGGGTAAAGGTAGGGGCGGAGGGCCCAGGGAGCAGAGGGGCGGCGGGCAGCGGCGGCAACACCACATCTGGATGGAATCCAGTTGCGTCCAGTCCACCATGGCTCTGGGACTGTCCTCCAAGAAAGCATCTTCTCGCAACGTGGCCGTGGAGCGGAGGAATCTGATCACCGTTTGCAGGTGAGGAAAGGCGAGGGGTGGGCGGATGGTTGCTAGGGCCTGTGGGGAGAAAATTAGACCGTGAAGGGACAAAACAAATGAAAAGAACTGGGGTGGAGAGAACTGGCGGTGGGGGGTGGGAGGGAGTAGGGCTATTCTATTCTGGGGTTTATTCTGAATACAGGCTGGGTCCTAGGACCAGGGCCATTGTGGGCATTCCACAGAAAGCAAAATACTCAAAATGAATACCAAGCTTGCTTACTGGTCAGCCAAAGTGAGGAAAGAAATGGAAGAGACCTGTCCCCCACCCTTTTAGATCTTTCCAGGGTCGGTGCCCAGGTTGGGGACAAAGGGAGATTCCTCATTTGACGTTGAAGCTTCCTGTAAAGACGAGAAAGTACCATTATAGCTGGAGTGGAGAGAGAACTGGAGGGGGAGGGATGGGAAGGGTTGGCATGCTGGGGAGGGTGGGTATAAGGAGTAGGTACATTCTGAGAGTGTCAGCCTGATGGATGGTGCCTATCACACCCTCAGCACAGTCCTTCCCTTCCTACATGACTTCCTTTAACTCCAAGAACAGAAAAAGAGGGAGACACTTTTCCTTGCTGGCCTAGACATCTTAAGCAGACTCATCTGTGGTGAGACCATGGGCTTGAAAACTACCCTCACTAACACCCCAGGATATGGACAGTGCCCCATCATCCCTGGGTACACATTGTACAATCTGGGTCAACTACTTTGAATGATAGGGGAAACTGGGCACTCAAATCTTTCCAAGTCCTGAAGGATATCAAAGGGCACCAATAAGAAACAGCCTACCTGTGAGACCTGGGCCTAGGATGGGAGGAAGGTTAGAGTATACCCACTCTCAGATCATGAGGGTCTCTCTCAATCCATTTCATGGTGGGAGGAGGGAGGAACAAGTTATATCAGAGACCTAAGTGGGGGGAGAGAGAGAATGGAGAGAGGAATGGGGTTGATTACATGGGAGGAGACCCAGAGACCTAAGGGTCATAGGAGAAGTGCAGCTAAGGGTCTGAAGGGATGTTACCTCCTCTCAGAGCTTCCCCTCTTTCCCTAGTGTCCAAGGAATGCCCCCTGCCCAGTCCTAGTATTTTGGTGACTCAATTACCTCTGCTTCCATGCCCAAAATAAACCCTGCCAACAGCACCAACTTCACACTTTGGGAGCCAGAAGTGGCTAAGAGATGTGCCACCTTCTCCATCCTCACATCCTACCCCAGTTTCCCTCCTTAGATATCTTGTTAGCTGTTTCCCCATGACACTTATGCCTGCAAGGAGTCTCAAGGTATCATCCTGGGGAAAGAAGCCTTTCTGAGGACAGATGTGGCTCCCCTAAGCTAAATCTATCACTATGTCCAAGGGTCAAACCTGTCCCCTGCCACATACACTATTGACATCTTTCTAAATACAGGCCTTGGTTCTGACACCTCCTTCATTGGAACCTATGGTGACCAGCTAATTGGGCTTTAGTCTCTGATGACACTGTCCAGGGGCCTTGGCATTTACACAAATTCACTCATGAGACCCAAAGTGCGGGCCTCCACCCCCCCCCAGCCCAAATACTTTCTGCCTTTCATCTGCTTGTCCTTATATCTCATGGTCTCCCCATCCACCTCCTATGTCCCCTTCTCATTCCCTTTCCTCCTCTTGCCTGTCATGTGGCTGTCCTCCTTTAGCTTTATCTTTTCCCCTCCTCTACATCTCAAAACCTGTCTTCATGATCCTCCATTCTCTCCTACTTTGCTCGTCTCTAATGAAGAGGTGGGCTTTCACCTTGCTAGGACTGAAACCTGTATCTCTGTTTTTGATCCCCTGTTATTTTCCAGAGGAAGCTTACCACCTTAATAGTCCCCTCTCTCATCTTCAAGTTTTCTATCCACTAGCTGCTTCTTCGCCACCTGCAGATATGTCCATATCTCCCCTCCTCAAAAACCCTCTATTTGACCATGCCATCCCTTCAAATTACTGTCTTCTCATTTCAGAGCCAAACTCCTAGAAAGGCTTGTCTACATTTGTGCTTTCATGTCCTCACCTCTTCCTCACTCTCTTCCAGACTGTCTTCTGATCCCACTACTCTCCCAAAGGTTGCCATTGACCTAACACTCCTGTGTGACCTTGGACAAGTTACTTAACTTCTCTGGGCCTCTGTAAAATCGAGGGCGGAGCTCACATCAGATGACCTCTAAGCTTCCTTTTGGCTCTACATCTATGATCCTATAATCTCAGTTACCACATCCCATACTGGGCCTCTCTGGAGTTTTTTTTTCTTTGCTGGATCATCCTATACCTCCCAAACAGTAACCGTGGGCATCCCCCAAGGCTATGTTTGGGCTCTCTTCTCTCCCTAAAGCCTCTCAGTGATCTCATTGGCTCCCATGGGTTCAATTACCATCTCTACAGGTGACTAGGAAATCTAGGTATCCAGATCTAACCTCCCTCTTGAACACCAATCCCTCATTGCCTCCCAGACTTCTTCACCTGGATGTCTCATAGGCATCTCAAACTCAACAGATAGAAAACAACTCAATTTCTATTTCCCTTCCCCAAACCCATCCTCCCTTCAAACTTCCCTGTTTCTGGCGAGGGCACCACTATCTTTTCCAGTTACCCATTTATCTTTTATTCTTCCCTTTCCATTATGGCCCCCACCCACCCATATGCAATCAGCTGCCAAGGCTTTTTACTTCGACAATATTTTTCACATCAATCTCCTCCTTTCTCTAAACACAACCACACCCCCTCCCCAGCTCAGGCAGGCCTCCATAACCTCTCACTTGGACTATTACAAAAGACTCTGAATTGACCTGTTTTCTAAATCCATCTGTTATACATCTGCCAAACTGATATCCTTAAAACACCAATATGACCACATCACTCCTCTACTCAGAAATCTTCATTGGCTCCTGGCTGCCTCTAAAATAAGATGCAGAATCCTCAGCTTAACATTTGAAACCATCCACAATCTGGCTCCCACCTCTCTTTCCTATCTGTGTTTCTCATTATACACTCTCTGTTCTAGTAAAACTAGCCTGCCAACTGTTCCCCTTACATGAAATTCCATCTCTCACCTCTCTACCTTTGCATGGACTGGCTGTCCTCTATTCTGGGAAGGCACTCCCTCCTCATTTTTTCCTCTTAGATTCCCTAATTTCCTTCAGATCATAATTCAGGTGCTACTTCCTGATCCATTTGGTTGCTAGTACTCTGTCCAAATCCTATTCCCCCAAAATTATTTCATCTGTGTGTTGTTGTTGTTCAGTTGTTTCAGTTGTAGCCAACTCTTCATGACATCATTTGGGGTTTTCTTGGCAGATAATGGAGTGGTTTGCCATTTCCTTCTCCAGCTCATTTTACAGATGAGGAAACTGAGGCAAACAAGGTTAAGTGACTTGCCCAGGGTCACACAGCTAGTAAGTGTCTGAGTTTGGATTTGACTTCCTGACTCTAGGCCCAACACTCTATCCATTGCACCACTTAGCTGCCCCATTTCATTTGTGTATATGCTGTATCTCTCCCCTCATCTAGAAGAATATAATCTTCTTGAGAGCAAGCGCTTTTTCCATTTTTGTTTTTGGATTCCTAGCACCTAGTATAGTGCCTTGTACATTTCATAGAATTATGAAATAATTATAGGTGCAGCTAGGTGGTACAGTGGATAAAGCTCAGGCCTTGGACTTGGGCAGACCTAAGTTCAAATCTGGCCTCAGAAACTTGACATTTACTAGCTGTGTGACCCTGGGCAAGTCACTTAACCCTGATTGCCTCACCAAAAAAGGAATAATTATGAAATAAGAAATAACTATTGAGTTGAATGTGGACAAAAATTACAAGAGGTGGGGATTGGCTGGGGTCTCCCCACCTGACTCGAAACCTCCATACAGTCAGAAAGACAATAGAGATGAAGAGTTGGGGAAATGGGATTGGGAGACAAGTAGACACTGACTATATGGGCTTGAAAACCAAAATGGTTCTTGAAACCCCATTATTGTCATGGAGTTCATTTATACTCTTATAAGGCCTTAGTAGGGTTCCATTCTCCCCAAGGCCTCAGGTGCTCCACTATCTCATAAGCTGTCATTTTATCTAAGTTTATTAAAGAGCATCTATTATGGTGTCTTTTGTGGGTGGAAGCCATTTTGTTTGTACCTTGGGCCTGATGGTTCCCATGGGAACCCATGTGCTTGGGAGAAATTTCTCACTATGGTTGCCATATTGATCCTAACCCCAATTGTATATTCAATCCCAATTTATTCAGCTTCAACTGAGACCCTTCTACCTCAACTAGAAATTCTTTTTCATTCGAGAAATACAAACCCATAAAAAGTAAGAGAGTAGCCAGAAAGGAAGGGGACGTGAAAGCCCAGTTAAAAATCTAAACTCATAACCCTAGCCCCAAAGTCAATTCCAACCATGCTTTGCATGGTAAAGTGAACTCCCAGAAGAGGGAACACCCCCCAAATGGACTTCTAAAAACCTTAATCAACCTTAATCAATCCTCAGAGAGGAAGCATGGCATAGCAGATAGAAAGCCAGGAAGACCTGGATTCAGATCCTACCACTGACACATCTTGACTGTGGGACCCTGTGAATGTGTGATCCTTACCTGGAAGCTCCCTATTCTGATGGAACCACAAGCCCAGTCCCTCCATATCCCTAATAAAGCCTCAATTGATCAGAAAATACTAATCTTAGCCCAAATTGTTTTTTCCCAATAGGAGAGTGACATGGCAGAATTTGGGACACTGCAGTGTAGCAGAAAACACTCTGTGCCTAGAGTCAGAGAACTTGGGTTCAAATTCCACCTTTGATATTTACTACCTATGTGATCCTAAATTAGTTAATTAACCTCCTTGGACTTTGGTTTTCTAATCCATAAAATGAAAAGATTCAACTAGGTGACCTTAAAGATCTCTTCTAGCTCTAAATCAAAATCAGAACTGGTTTTGAATCCTGGCTCTACCCCTTACTAGCTGGGCAAACTTAGAAAAGTCATGCAACTATTCAGGTCCTCAGTTTTCTTATCCTAAAATCAGGACTTAGACTAGAGAATCTCTAAGCTCCAACATTCTGTGATTCTCTGAAAAGTCCTGGTCCAATCCCAATGCTAATGTTCATTCAACTCTGCTCTCAGTCTAGAGATTGTGACCACAAAACAACCCAAACTCTAAGCCAGCTTCACCCTCAATGCCACTCTTACCTACATTTGTGCCAGTCATCATTGCAACTTCAATCCTAAACAATCCCCAAAACCCAATCTTAACCCATTTCAATGTCTTATCTCAACCCCAAATTTTAACCCAGACCTTGTGTGCAACCTTACCCCCAACCAACCCAACCCTACCCTATCTAAATAGTGATATTCTCATGCAACAATGTCAGTCATCATCACTTAGCCAGGTGACTTGTGGGCTCCATAAAGTCAGGTACAACATAATAATTGTGATACAGGAATCAGGCATTGGGGAACTCCAGGTTCACTCCATTCAATTGTTATAATGCAATTCAATACAACAAATATATTGAGTCTCTACTAAGTGTAAAGAGTGCTGTGGACACAAAAGGAATATCTTATCACCCACCACAGAGTCTTTACACAAGTTACCCACTGTATCTGGAGTGCATTTCCTTCTTATCTCTCTCACTTAGTCCCCTATCTTCCTTCAAAACACAACTCTGGAGTCACCTCGACTGGAGGCCTTTCCTGACCCACCCATTTGCTTATACTCTCTCCTTCCTAATATTTACTTTTGTTATCAATCAATCGACACAGCAATTATTAAGTGCCTACCATTTGCCAGGTACTGTACTAGGCACTGATGATTCAGAGAGAAATGAAAGTCTCTTGCCTCAAGGAACTGACATAGTACTAGGGGAGACATATAAGGAGGCATGCCACAGAAAACAAGAGCTGGCCTTGAATCCAGGAAGACTCTGGTTCAAGACCCACCTCTGGGTGACTATGCCAAGGGGGTCAAGTCACTTAATCTTTCAGTAATATCAAGAATCCCGGCAGGCTGCATATTGACTCAGAAAACCACAAATTAGCATTATCTCTGTTGTGCTGTATATTTATTTTGTTAAGCATTTCCCAATTACATTTTAATCTAGTTCTAGCCTCACTCTGGCTATAGGCTGCTTGAGGCTGATGACTCTGCTCAGCTCTGCTATTCTCTAAGACAATAAATTTCAGACAAAGCATTCCTCTGCATCAGTAAAAGGTGTTCCCTCATCTGGGAGTTCACTCTACCAAGGAAAACACATGTCTAGTTCCTATCCCTAAGTACATATATAAGTATATAAAAGCTAATTTTGGGGGACAGCACTAGCATCTGGTGGGAAGAGGCTTCAAAGAAGAACTCATAGAGAGGGTAATGCTTGAATTAAGGGATTCTAAAGGGCAGAGATGTATCTGCTTTGTATTTACTTTTCTGCCCATATTATATATTACATATATTGCATTGACACAAGAAAATTAAACTCATTGAGAGCAGGACTTATTTCATTTTTGTCTTTTCATCCGCATCACCTAGCACAGTGCCTGACATACAGTAAGCACTTAATGGCTGTTGAACTGAACTGAATTGACTAGGGGGCATGTGACACCTACACACACACATACACCTTGTGTAAATGGAAAGTCAGTGCAATGAGAACTATGAGGTGGGCATGAGATGAGAGAGGATAGACTAGAATGAAGGGCATTCAGTTGACTAGAAAGTCAAGTATGTGAAGGGGAGGATGCTAAGATAAAGATCATGGAATCATACATGCAAAGCAAGAAGGTCATCATTAAATCCAACCTCCTCCTTTTACCAATGGGGAAAACAAGAGACAGAGAGGTTAAGTACTTGCCTAAGGTCCCAAAGCTAGTAAGTGTCCTAGGCAGGACTTGAACACAGGTCTCACTCCAAGTCCAGTGTCCTATCCACTAGACCACACTTCCACTTCAGGCAGGAAAGCTAGGTTGGGGACAGAGTGTAGAGACCCTTGAGTGCTAGGATGAGCAAATCCGTACCTTATTTGATTAGCAGGAGGCTTCATTGGAAACGCCACCTGCTGCTCAAAAGCTGAGTAACAGTGTTCCAGCCTAACCCCAGGAGCTCATGCTGTTGGGATGGCACACTTGGCCCATCTCTGCACGCACCAGCCCCTTTGTCCACCCCAGGATTTAGAGCTATAACCTTCACCCTTCCACCCCCCTGCTTCTTTCTGGTTTCCTCCTACTTCCTGAGGGACGATGGAGGGATGGTGAGGTTGTTGGGCCTCAGCCTCTGTTCCCTCCTCCCCCACCCCTTACCTTCCCCTCTCCTGAGGAATCAAGTGCCCATTCTCCCCAATCTCACTCCAACAGGTCCTCATCACCGTCTCCCCTCCTTTTCTTGCTTGTACCATATCCCACATCCCTTTCCCCCACTCAAACTGGCACCACTGGGGTGCAGGGCAGCTGGTGTGTGGGTGACTGGAGCAGCGCCCAGAAAGAAATGAGGCAAGGGCATGGGGGAGGGGAGGGGAAAGAGGAGCCTCTGAGGAAAAGAGGGGGAGCTGGGTGACTGAGCTCCCTGCCCTCTGCCCTTAGAACGAGTAAGTAGAAACATTTAAGATGGAGGGAGTGAATGTGGGGAACTGCTCTACCCATGCCTGATGTCAATGTGCACCACCCCGCCTTGACACCCTCCCACCTGCTGTCCTATTCTCCTCTCAGCTTGATAGTTCATTTTGACACCCCCTTGTCACTCTCCTCTCCCCTGCTACCCCTTCCCACCCACCCGATTACTGGTCTCCATCTCACTAGTTGCTGCTCCAACTTTGCTCTGGCACCCCATTCCTCCCAGTTACATTCTGCCTTCTCACCTGACACCCTGCCACCCTGTGTGCCTAGGTTCTCCGTGAAAACTCTTCTGGAAAAATACACGGCCGAGCCTATCGACGACTCCTCGGAGGAGTTTGTTAACTTTGCAGCCATTTTAGAACAAATCCTCAGTCACCGTTTCAAAGGTGTGCACCTCTCCTACCCACCCAAAAAACTTCCCCACCTCCCCACCTCCAGGTTCCAGGCTACAACCCTCCAACAGCCTTAATCCCTGGACACAACAGCTTTTGGGGCTCCTCATAGTTTTCTTCCTTCCAACAGTACTGAGCCTATACTCCCACACCCACTCCCTTGCCCCCATCCCCATCAGATCCTGGGCAGATGGATGGAGAGATTGGGGGTGCATGTTCGAATGGGCAGGTCGGCGTTTACTCATACCTTCTGCCCATACAAGACACACTCCAAGTAGCACATAGTGCAGGGCACAAAGTTGCATAGTAAAAATGCCCACGTATGCACTAATAGTCATTCATGTGTCAAAGTACAAGTATGTACAATTTGTAGGTGCATATTTCATACATATATGCATTACATGTGTAAACACATTTCTATGTATGTCTATGCCTTTCATCCTTCTGGCCTTGGTGGGCCCTCCCCATGGTGTCCCTGGCCCAGCCTCATATCTCCCCCACCCCCAGGCCCTGTCAGCTGGTTTAGCTCTGATGGGCAGCGGGGCTTCTGGGACTACATCCGGCTGGCCTGTAGCAAGGTACCCAACAACTGTGTGAGCAGCATTGAGAACATGGAGAACATTAGCACAGCCCGTGCCAAGGTGAGGGGGCAGGACCCAATGACTCCACTTGGTATCTGGGACAGGGAGCTAATACAAACTGGGTGGAGAGAAGAGAGGATGAAGGATGGAGGCCTGCAGTGGAAAAGGGAATGTCATTGGCTTTGTGCCCAGGTAGGGAGGATTGTGTGCCACTTTAGGCTAGGCATTATGTGATGGGGAGGGTTAGATAACTGATCATGTTATCAGCTCTCCTTCTATGGATCCAAGAGGCATCCAAACTCCTGGGTTTTCTCTAGCCCTCCCACTTCCCCTTCCACTGGCTTCAGACATCTCTAGCCCCAAACTCCCCAGGGTAGATGAGTGGAGATTTAAGAATTCACAGAATAGAGATGAGAGAAGAACATGTATGTTCCTTGTGGGGGGGAAGGGGGTACTCCGCCACTGTCCCCTTCTGCAGGGGCAGCATATGATGATCTATGGGTTGTAGGGCCGAGCTTGGATCCGGGTGGCATTGATGGAGAAACGGATGTCAGAATATATTTCCACAGCCCTTCGGGATACCCGGACCACCAGGTCAGAGCCCTGCTGTGCCCTCCTACCTCTGAAGACAAGCCCCAGCATGCACCGCTTTACTCTACTCCAGGCCTTCTTAGCTCTTGCTCCTCTGGAGAAAGTGCATTCACTCCTCAGCTACTTTGACAAACACTGGGAGGACAAGTCCTAGGTTGCATGGATTTCCTGAAGGCTTCCCTGTCTCCGGTTGCATGGGTGCTCCAGGGCAAAAAGGGGGAGTGACTGAGGATGCAGGAGGAAGCATGCATGTGTGGAGAGCTAACCTGTGCACCCTTGCAGCTGATCTCACCCAACTTATTATTTCACTCCCATTCATACACCCACACCCTCCCTCAGGAGCCTCTGTGAGCCAGGCTTTGAGCTGGCAGCTTAGAGAGGTAGAGGACACATTGGCCCTGCCTTCAGGAACTTATAGACTTGTGGGAGTGGTAGGAAGGGGAGATATATTCTCGATTGCCCAGTAGTGAGGACTATACTTGTGTAAGGGCAGCCAAACAGGAAAGGGGTTCTAGTACCAGGTAGGTGGTAGAGGTGGGAAGGAGATGCCCAGGGCCTCAGTTCCATCAGCTGGAAAATGGGAATAATACACTACCTACCTCACAGGGTAGTGAGGAAAGCCCTTTGCAAACCGGAAAGCCCTAAGTGAAGAGTTACTATCATAGTCTAAGGTGAAAGAATTCTGGAGGGGATAAATAGGGTGAGAAGAGTCCCTTGGGAGGAAGGGCTGGAACCTGTGGGGCAGGAGTCATCACAGTGCCTCCCCCACCCCAGAAGGTTCTATGATGCTGGGGCCATCATGCTTCGGGAGGAGTCTGCAGTACTCACAGGGATGCTGATTGGGCTTAGCGCCATCGACTTCAGGTGAGTCTGGATTCCCCCCCCACCATCTCCCTCTCCTCTTCCCCTCCTTGTCCATCCTTCTCCTATAGCCTCTAGCCCCTCCAGAGTCACACACACCCCTCAACCCACCTTGGGGTTTGTCTCAGCTTCTGTTTAAAGGGAGAGGTGATGGATGGGAAGACTCCAGTTGTGATTGATTACACCCCCTACTTGAAGTTCACCCAAAGGTGAGATTCCTCCTTGCCACCTGCCAGGTATCCTGCCCATTCAACAAGGGTATGGGGGCAAGAGAAAAAGGGTGAACCAAGGCAATCAGGTTATCCCAACAGGGCACAGCCTTGGGCTGGGTGCCCCTGCCCTTTCCAGCTGCACAATCTCCCACCCAAAAGGAGAGGGATCTCAGTAGCCAGCTCTCACCCCTCTGTCCTACTTGCAGGTGCCAAAGTTCGTGGGGGGGTTGGGTGATGATGATGCCAAAAACTCTTGTCCCACTCCCAGCCCAAGTGCTTTGGCCTTAGCCCTGCTAGAGCTATGGGTAATTGGGGGTGGGGTGAGGTACATAGCTCTCAGTCCCTGTCCTTTCAGCTACGATTACTTGACTGATGAAGAAGAGAGACACAGCGTGGAAAGCAGCACCAGTGAGGATAACTCCCCAGAGCACCCCTATATGCCCCTGGTGACAGATGAAGACAGCTGGTACAGCAAGTGGCACAAAATGGAGCAGAAGTTTCGAATTGTTTATGCCCAGAAGGTGCCCAGGCATTGGGATGGGGATGGATCACGGGGGTGGGGACATAGGACTGCCTCAACTCCTCCCCCAAGCTGGTCTGAAGCAAACCAGGTAGCGGTCCAGTGCTGCCCTCAGGTCCCAAACTAAGCAGGTCTCTTGGCTCCCCTCTCCCCTAGGGCTACCTGGAAGAGCTTGTACGACTTAGAGAATCTCAGCTAAAGGACCTAGAAGCAGAAAACAAGCGGCTGCAGCTGCAGCTGGAGGAGGCAACTGTGCAGAATCAGCTGGAGAAGCGGGAGCTAGAAGGGGTCATCCTGGAGCTGCAAGAGCAACTGTGAGTGTTCTCTGGTCTCCACTGTTTCGGTACCCACTTTCAGCTGCTCCACCAACCCCTTCTGCCTCCAACCCAGCTACTGACCATCACTGTTTACCCACATCAATGACGTTTATCAAGCAGCCCTCATGATCCTTGACTCTCCTATCATTTCCCTGCTCCCTCAGGCCTTTCACTGACACGTCACTTCTGACCCACATGGGATTGGACTCTAAGAACCTCCCCTCGATCTATCATTGTCACTTTTCATCCCTGTCCCTCTCAAATCCCTTTGCACACATACGCTAATGCTCAGAGAACCCAAGTATCACACCTAGACCTTGACTGAATTGTCCTTTCCCCTCAAGCCACACCACCTTCCTGACCCATCTAGTAATCCTAAACCCTCCAATCTGATTCTCTACTTTGAACCTGACCACCCTCTTTCTCCCCCAGGACAGGCCTGATCCCTTGTGAAAATGCCCCGCTAGCCCAGGTCTCCAAGGAGCTCACTTCATCACCACAGTGGCCATCGCTGGGAACACTCAATGGGAATGAGGCAGGGAATGACCCGAAGATCTACCGGAGGTAACAGTTAGTAGGGCCAGGCTTTCTCCCTACCTCTGAGGTTCTGGGGAAGGGTCCCTTCTTAGAACACAGGCCTGAGCATTTAGACAGCTGAGAAGGGGAGGGACAGAGGACCAGTGAGTGAGTGAACCTCACAAGGTTCCTGGTGGCCCCTCTGTAGGGCAGAGGTGGAGGTTCGTGGGTGTGAATCCTATCCACCTATCTGCCCACCTGACAGACACAGCTTTATGAGCACTGAGCAGCTGTCTGCTGAGGCCAGCCTGAGCTCTGATTCCCAACGGCTAGGAGAGGGCAAACGGGACCGGGAACCCTGGGGTCCCATTGGTGAGTCCCCTCTAAATACCCCACCCCCAATGAGTGCCGGCCCCTCCCTTTCTTCCCTTAAGGGCACTGAGTCTGCCACTTCATCTGCCTCTCTTCCCAGGGAAGGACCCAACGCCCTCCATGCTGGGCCTCTGTGGCTCCCTGGCTTCCATTCCCAGCTGCAAGTCCCTGGCAAGCTTCAAATCCAACGAGTGCCTCGTGAGTGATAGTCCGGAGGGCAGCCCAGCCCTGAGCCCGAGCTGAGCCAAGAACTGCCCCACCGGGCTGGACATGTGGCCCTCCCCTCAGTTCTTGTGGATAATGAGGCCACCTTTCCAACCTCCACCCATCATCACTCCTCCCGTCCCACTGGAAGAGCCACAGCTGATCTGGCAGCTTGGGAGGAAGGGGAGAGACATGGGATCAGATCCAAAAGCTACTTGTCTGGGGAAGGCCCTGTAATACCACTAGGAATATGGGAAGGGAGGAGGGGAAAGGCCCTGGATTGAGCTCACTCTTTTCCCCCATCCTTACTACAGGCTCTTGAGAGGGGGAGAAGGAAAGGCTTGGGCATAGTTCCCTGGCACTCTTCTCCCCCCTCTAAAACCTGGGGAGTTGGGTTAGCAGCACCCACTCCTTAACACTTGTCTCGTCTGTCTCTATGGAAACCCCGTGGGCCATCCACCCCTTCCCCCAGCCCCTTGGGTGGCTCAGTGGAGGGGAAGAGGCAAAAATAAAAGTTGAAGAAATGATGTGACTGGTCTGTGGGCCTGGGATGTGCACACCAGGCTGTGTATGGAGACTGGGTTTGCCCAGGCCAGGCCAGCCAGCCACTACACCCTGGAAAGGAGCCCCTTCTTGGACCCAGGAGCCTCCTTGCCCACTGACTGGGGTTCCTGCCCCTCACAAACCCCCAAACACCAAGAGTCAAAGCCAAGAGTACAGCAAAGCATCATCTTTGGATCTAAAGGATTCAACAAGAGGGAGATTAAGACAAAGCAGGACCAGGGGCTGAGATAGATGTCCAGAGAGAAAAACAAAGGGTCAACAGCAGATTGCATTCCTAAGGAAGGAAAAGGGGGTGAACCAAGAGCTGGGGCATTTGGTCTGTAGGAAACTGGGGAGAAAACATGGAGAAAGAGGGGAGTTTTGTTCCCTGCATGATGCCCTCATATTGCCCGGTAGGAGGGAAGGTAGAGTGGGCATCTCACTCACCCTCGACCATATAGAACAGAGGGGTGGCACTCTGCTCCATAGTCCCCATGATAAGGAAAGTTTGTATAAGTCCTCTCTTCCCGCTGAGGGCTACAGCTGGTTTCCTCAGGAGACCCTGGAGATTGGTATCTTCCATCACTCTCTCCCACTCTCCCCTCAGGGTCCCCGAGGGCAATTTTCCAGGTTCAGTCTCTGGAAAAAATTTTTGCTAAATTCGTAGGTGCTGATCATGATGGCACAGGAGGGGGCTGCTTTGATGATCCGGGGGAGGAAGCCTTGGGGAAAGAGTAAAGGCGGAAGCCTGCGGTTAAGACCTGAACAGAGAGAGCTCCAAGAACCCTGCCCCTAGCTCAGACCCATAGCCCTTTCCTTCCCCTGAAGATTCCTCCACTTCTGAGACACCTGCCTCAGCCCTTGATGCCCACCTGCAAAGAGCCCTCTGGCCCCAGACTCGGCTTGAATTCGTCGGAGCAGCAGCCAGGTGGAAGGGGAACGTGGAGATGTCACTGCAAAGGGAATGGAGGGAAGGGCACAGCGAGCTAAGCAGGAAACCCCAAGGCACAAATGACCTAAACACCACAATGGCTCTGAGGGCCTGGTCACTAGCACTGCCTTATCCCCCATGCCCACCCCATCCGTGCCAGGTCTCTTGAGGATGCCCAGGCCTTTCCCAGCACTCAGTATTGTGCCTAGCACATAAAAGGTGCTTAATAAATGTTTACTGACTGACCTCTCAAGGCTCCCACACTTCCCAACTCCATCTGACGCTGAGTTTTCACCACGTCAAAAGGCAGTGTGAGCACAGCAGCCACCTGGGATGGGGAGGAGAAAGGCATCACCCTGCTATCAGCTCGACCCCTGGTCTGCAGGCACCAGGCCAGGGCCCAAAGTTCCTCCCTCTTTCCCAGTCTCACCTCTGCACTACCCCTCCCAGGTACATCTTTCCAGGCTCAGCCCCACCCCCTCAAAGGCAAACAGGATTGGTCTGAGAACCAGGAAACCAGAGAGGTTCTGCCCTTCCGAGTTCTGCGACCCTGGGCAAATCTCCTGATCTCTCTAGGCCTAAGGTTTTTCCATCACTTCTATATGTGTGAAACTCCTATAAGAGGGTCCTCTCAGCTGAAAGTCCATCTCCTCCCTACGCCCCCATCTCCCAAGCTTTGCCTCTCAAGCCCCCCCTCCCAACCCCCCACTTCCCCCTGGGCACTGCCCACTCACTGTTCCTGAGAAAGCTCCAGCCACAAAGCTGATACTGACTGAAGTCCGGTCCTTGGCTGCCATCTTACATAGCCACGTCTTCACTAGCTCATAGTTAAACCAGTACAGGGCTATAGGAAAGGATGGGGATGAGGCTCAGCAAGGGTTCGGGAAGACAACCAAGAAGCATCCTGGGGTGGGCAGATTGGCTCATGAAAGAGGTAAGACAGCAGAGTCCTGTCATCCCTCCCATCCATCCCCAGGGCCATTTATCCCACAAAGCCCCATCTCATTTCATTTGCACCCCAACCTGCCCTAGATTTCTGCCCCTAAGCCTTCTATCTTACCCCACCCCCTAGGGCACCCAAGCACCTGAAAAAGGCACATCCCTCAACGCAGTGGCACTCCAGCCAAGCCACAGAGAGCGCCAGCCACCCTGGGATACGGCTGCCCTGACACAGGCCCCGAGTTCACGGTAAGACAGATGCTGGGCCTGAAGCTTTGTTCTCACCAGCTCCAGGGGGCTGATCACAGTCACAGTGCCCACTGCCAGAATGGTGGGAAAAGAGTGTTAGGGCACTGATGGCCAGAGGAAAACAAGTAGGTGGCCCCAGGGATTGGACAATGTTGAGGGAAGCTAAGAATCTGAGGGACTAGTTAGTGGATTGGGAGAAAAACAAGAGGTTGGAAGGATCAACATCACAGATGAGGAGTCACGGCTATGAGGCGGTGGTTTTATTTAGCTTCCTCCCCCCCTCCCCCTCTCATCTTGGGCTGGGGGACAGAGAACACTCACGTCGGGCCATAGCTCCTGCCACCATAGGTGCACAGAGGTCAGAAGTCACAGCTCGGCTACATAAGAAAGCCTTGAGCTGGTCATAGGTGGTAAAGTAAATGGCGGTGGCGGGCACTGTCATCACTCTGTTGGAAAGTTACAGGAGAGCTGCTATGAAAGAAGGGTGGTATACAGTCCACCCATGCCAATTCCTGCCCCAGCTCCTCTGGTCCCACTATGGAAGCCAGTGAGTAGGAGGTTTCAACCATCCTCTGTGACGTATCCCACCCAATTCAAGCTCCCACCCACCACCCTAGAAGTCAGGAAAAGGGACCAAGGCAGAGCCCAGGAAAATCCTCACAGAGTTGCGGGGAGGCCACTCCACAGGGTCCTAGCACCTTCATGCCGAGTAATCTTCACAAAGGCATCCTGGGCAGGTGGGAAGCAGAGGGAGAAGATGGGGTTATCAAAGGGTGAAAGGTTGGAGCTCTGGCCCCTTCAAACAGACACCCCAAAGGAGAGTAACAGGCTCTTTGTGGGTCCAAGCAGAGGCTCCCATCTGGGATTAGTCCTGAGTACCCAAACTTTAACCATCCTTACCCAGTCATCCCTGAGACAGACCTCTAAGGCCCAAGAGACCACCCCAAGAGACCCCAAAGATCTGTTGTACACAGAGGCTCACCATGGTGCCTGTGAAATAGGTGGGTTGTTGGTACCAGACAGCACAGCGAGAACCATTCTGACAAAGATAGAGGGGCTCTAGAATGCCATTGCAGTAAATCATACACTTCCCTAAAGACAGGAAGAGAAAGAGGGATGGAGGTCATAAGTAGGACGATCAGATGGCTGACTGAGGTGGGATGATGTTGAAGATGGGAACATGAAACATTGTTCTTTTGATCTGGAACTATGATTTCATAGGGTGGGGTAAGGGGGATTCCTGGTGTGGAAATTCCTTCCACCAATGCAGACTGGCAACCATTTGTAACTTGTAGTCCCAAGAGAGGTTCCAGGGAAATGACTTGGCCAAAGTCACAAAAATAACATCTGTCGGAGGCAGGACTAGAACCCAAGGCCCACTGATGACCACTCTCCACTCACTATGCTACAGTGCCTCTCAAGCTGTCCTAGTGATTGAAGAACCTCCAACCTCCACCAGCCCCAACCCTAGACCTAGGTTGCTGGCTGGACAACCATTTATGGAAAAACTAAAATGTACTTACATTTAGTATAGGGGATGCTCCAGGATCCCTGGGACTGTGCCAGCCCTAGAATATAAAACCCACCACTATTGGGCAATTTCTTCCAATGCTCACCAGTCCCTAGGATTCTCATATTCATTTGTTCTCCTCCACCCCACACCCACTCAGAGCTAGGGTTGGGGGAAGGATACTTGGAAAAACAGATTCTCCTGGGCATGGCCTTCCCCACCCCAGGCTAGGTAGGTACTCACCACTGGTGGGAGAAGGGCGCTGGGACTGTAGACGGACCTTTACCACATCCAGCGGGGTCACTGAGAGAACAAAGACAATTTTGAAGACACTTAGCCTTACTCCAATCCCACAACCCCAATCTCTAGCCTTCCCCAAATTTCCTTACTGAAAATGGAGGTAACAAGGCCCCCTGTGCCTGATGCCACCATCTGCTGCAGGGGGCTAATGCCCCCAGGTGCCTTCTCTGCCATTACACTGTCTCTTGCCTGTAAAACATCATTGAGAACATTAGGGTATCATGAGGAGTTCACAGGGTTGGCGGGGGCTTGCACCCTAGTTAGCACCTGCTGCTTCCAACCGCCAGATCCAGCAAGTCTCACATACAACCTGACACTCTCCTGGGTCTGCCAGAAATTCCCCCTCCTCCCCCCAACACATACATAGAGGGCAGTCAGGGGGGTGGGAGGTAAAAATGAGATACAGGGTTAGAGAAGAGAGAACGAAAAAATGCCAAGTATTTGCATTTTGATAGAACTGGCTGTAATCTCCTGCCTAGGTCCTATCCTATCCTCTCCCCCGCTCCACACCCAAAGTGTCACACTTCTGGGGCTGGGGCAAAGGGTGGAGAGAGGTCCAGGAAAAGAAAAGATCATAGATTCAGAACTGGGACTTCAGAGATCGTGGTGTCCAACACCTTCATTCTACAGAATGAGGAAAGTGAGGCCCAGAGATATTAAATAACTTGCCCAAAGTCACACAGGTAAGTGTAAGAAAGGGACTAAGTACTTATTAGGCACCTACTATGTACCAGGCACAGTGCTAAGCACTTTACAAATATTATTTCATGTCTTTCTCACAAAAACTCGCTGTCTGAAGTAGGTGCTATTATCCCCATTTTA